GCCCTTCCTCTGGGCGTCCTGGTCTCCGTTACCATGCTACTCTCAGGAGAGGTGGCTCCGTGCACATCATTAATTATATTCTTTAAGAAGATATTGACAACCAATTGGGTGTTGAGAGGCCTACAACAGATGTTTTGTTGGGCTACAATAAACCTAAATTGAGCATCTCCTAAGTTCAGGGCCCTGGGTTGGAGATGCAGAGAAGTATCAGGATCAACCTGGCCCTTATTCATTCAGTCAACAAACATTTATTGGAGCCTGTCCCCTGCAGGGCTGGTGCTGGGCACTGTGGACACAGAGATGGCCAGTGCAAAAAACAACATATCAACAGATGTTTAGCTTCAGAGTGATGGACAGTATGTACAAATGGTCGGTACCAAGCCCTCTGGGCTTAAGGAAAAGGGCACCCATCCCAGCCGTGGTGAGAGAAGCATCCAGGAGGGTCCTAGAGGGGACAAGAACAGAGCGTGTCAGGGAGGAGGAAAAGAGTGCAGAGGGCCAGGCAGCATGTAGAAACTGGTGCGGACTGTGGAGGGAGGACCATGCAACCATGAAGACCACCATTTACAGAGCGCTGCCCATGGCCTGGTATGGCACTGAGCACTTACCTATGGGACCTCTCTGAACTCCCCCACTGCCCAGAGGTCTTGAAATGGGAAGTTCAGAGAACCTTACAGTGCAAAGCTGGGAGCCAGCCAAAGGAAGGGGTCACCAGGGACCACAGTGAGGGTCCCCAGGATAGCCCTTTAGTGAGAGCTCAGGCCCTCCCTGGCATTTATGACTTTATAAATGTATTTCTTACCTTTTCCCTCAGCTCATCAGGTAGCCCCTGATTTAGATTAAGCCTAAAGGCCTTAAATTAAAGCCAGGTGCTACAATTAGATTATAAAGCAGCATTTTGAATTTGGGCATAAATATTTTCCGGTTCCGACATGTAGTATTGCAGTCAGCTTCCAGCAATATAACTGAAAACGATCTGTGAGCAATGTGTGGGTGAGTGGTCCAAGCCCTTTCCCTATCTGGCAGTTCTCAAGTACAGAAGTGAAAGCACCCAGTTAGCCCCATAAAAGGAAGAGTCCCTTGGCCTCTCTCTGGTTAGCCAGCCGCACAGGCCATGTGCTGGGGACAGGGTCCATTGCAATGCCAGCTGGCCCCCCAGCAGAATCAGGGTGCCTCCTCTGGACAGGGCAAATCCAGTTCCTCCAGTCTTCCAGAATAGCGCCCCACACCTTCTCCATCTTAAGCACACATGCGTGGTATCCTGACTGCAGAGAGACGATCTGAGCTTTTGCCTCCTTTCTGGTCTGGGAGGTCCCCTGCATCTCCTCATGGCATTGAACAGTCCACGCACTGGAGAAGCCAAGAGGCTGGGTGGGTGGTCCACATCTTCCCGGGATCCCCCCATTCTCTCCTGTACATGGACGACGGTGATGACCCACGGCCACACCTCCTCCAGGTGCAGTCAGGGAGAGGAAGGAGGCCTGAAGGTCAGGGCCATCACAAATGTGCAGCCACAACCAGCTGAAGCCACGACCCAGCCGTATTCCTCCCACACATGCCTAGCCCCTCCCCAACACTCACCAGCAGTTCGTTTAAAGCTTCTCCACCCTCCTAAAACCTGCTACCCCAACACTCCGCACCCTCACTCCCCAAACCTCGCCTCTGACCTCAGAAGAAGATATGAAATTGAGACAATTCTCTATTGTACGGTTTCTGTCACCACACCTGAGCACCCGCTTCTCTCTGTAGGCACCTTTATCTCTGTCATGCCATCTCAGAAGAAAAGGAGCCCCCTCCTCCCGAGAGGAGCACCCACAGCCTCCCACGCCACCTTTCCTCCCCCTCACGACTGCTGTCTCTGTCACCTCCCCACTGCCGACTTCCATTCTCTGCTTCTGGCTTCCCACCCTGGTCCTCCTTGAAAGCATCCACGTGGCTCACCACAGGGTCCTTGTAGCTAAACCCAGTGAAGATGTTCAACACCCAGAAGCATCTGCCTCTCTTGTCCCCTCGTCCTCCTTGGCTTCTATGGCAGGATCCCCTCTTGGTTTTCTCCTGCTCATGGAACACTCCTTCCTGGTCTCCTTTTCACACTCCTCTTTCTCTATTAGACACTTCAATGCAGGTTATCCAACCAATCCTCTTACCTCTTCTCCCTCCAGATATGCTTCCTGGGAGACTGCGGCCACACCCTGGGCTCCCGTCCCATTGACGTCAGGCCTCCTGCCTTCTGATTCCATTGTCCATAAGTGAAATGCTGGCGCATGTCCCCATGGGTGCCCCAGAGGCTCCTCAAGCTCAACAGGTCTGAGACTGAACTCAGCCTCTCCCCACCCAAAAGTGCTCCTCCTCCTGTGTCCTCCATCTCCAGAAATGACACCATCATCCACTCTCTTGTCCAAGTCAGAAACTGTCCACAAATACACAGAGTCGGGTGGTGAACTAGACGTGAGTCTCCAGTGGGGAACAGATACACAGAGTCCTGGCCCCCACGGAGGTTATAACACGGCCGAAGGGAGAAGTGGCGTAGAAACGAATCAGATCCGAACACAGACAGATGTAAAATTTGCAGCTGGGAATAGTGCTACTGGGAAAGCTCCCTGGCACCGAGAAGACCTGTCACAGGGGATCCAACATGGTTGGGGATGCAGAGAAAGATGTCCCTGAGGATGGGTCCAGTGGGCAGAGGTCAGAAGACAGTAGAGAAGTCAAGAGTTCTTCCCAGTTTCTGGCCTTTACAATGTGCTGAGATGGAGAAGGAGCCCACGTGTGTGGGGAGGAGAAGGAGAAGGGGGTGAATTCACTAGGGCCATGGTGAGGTTGACAGACCCGTGAGCATTAATGAAAGATGTGGTAGTTGGCTGTGACCTTGGGCTAGGGATACAAGCTTGAGAGTCATTGGTGTTTCTAGGACTGGAGGCCACTGTCCAGGGTGAGTAGAGAGGGAGAAGAGAAGAGGGCCTGGGATGGAAGGCAAGGGCCAGCCTGACCCTCCCGCTGGTCGCTGCAAACCAGACAGGCTCAGAGGCTGCTCAGAGCCCCAGGAGGAGAACTATTTGGTTGTATGTCCCCTCAAGAAGAGCACTGGCGCACAGCAGCTGAGCCATGCTGGTCACAAGAGGGGAGGGCGCCCTGAGCACAGCCCAGCCAGCTGCTGTCTCCAAAGGGCAGCTCTTGACTTTGAATGTTTCCCTCAAGGAGAACCTTCATTGGGGAAGATCAGACGTTTAGAGAAGACAGGTGTTGTGTATAAAAATCAAGGGAAAAATCAACCATAAATCATGCTGATGCCTTGTGAAAACATACAAGCCTTCAAAGAATAACATAATTTGTAAAAGATGGCAAGTTCTTAACATCCAGGTGACCTGGAAGAGTTGCTGCTTCATCAGCTTTGCATAAAGTCCCAAGTAGGAGTGGGAAGGTTTTCCTAGTTGCCTAGTGTTCCTGGCAAGACCTGTTCAGAGTGGGTGGGTTCTGCCCCATCCCTGCTCCCTGCTTTGGGCAATGCCAGCTCATCCTGGACCTTGCTCCCCTGCTCCAGGGCAAGATGCCTGTGCCTGGGGCAATGCATCCCTGCAAATGCTGAGGTGGAGTGAAAGTGAGAACCCAGGAGAGGTGCACAGGTGAGATCACCACCTGCCCTGTGACCTGAATGTCCCAATTAGAACTGTCCCTATAGCAGGACAAGGGCATGTTAGGACAGGTATGATGTACTTTGCTAGAAATCCCCTGCTGGATGCAGAGGTTACAAACACAGGGATGGAGACAGAAGGTCTGGGGCAGATGAGGAAGGCTAGGGCTCCCTGCCCCAGCCTGACCTCACTCTCCAGCTGGGATAAAGAGCCCACTCCATCCTCCTGCCCTCTCCCTTCTTAATTAAGCCCCAAAGTTAGCCAACAGCCCAAGCCAGAGACACAAACATCGACTCCACCTCCTCCCTCTCCCTGTCCTTCCCACATCCATCCACGGCCAGTTCTTCCTCTTTAACTTTTCTCAAACTGCCCTCTGAGTATCCCATTTTTATTTGATTCTTCTGACACATCCAAGAGAGCTGAAAGAGCCTTCTAACTCTTTTCTCTTAACTGTTCTGCACAATCCTGGCAGCAAATGTGCCCATCTTATTCTCCTGCCCAGGATCTCTCCATTGCCCACAGGATAAACCCAAAGTCCCTGCTCAGCATGGCAGTCATGGTTCGTCACCACTGTGCCACATTCCAGCCTACCCCCCAGCCCCATCTCAGCAGCACCCATGCCCTGCCAGCTGTGTTCCAGACACACGGACTCGTCTCTCTTATGTCTTTTCATGACCCCATCCCTTTGAACCAGCTATTTCTCTGACTTGGAATATCTTTCCGGACTCTCCACCCACTACCCGTCAAACTCCTATTCTTTCTGCAAAACCCAGCTTGCAGAACCTTCTCTATAAAGGCTTCGTGTCTCCTCTGTGGTTTCTCACTCCCTTATGGTTGTTCACACTTCCTGTTGATCTCCCCAGTGCCACAAAGGAGAGATATACTCCAGCTTATCCATGAACATGTTGGTCCCCACAGGAGGCCATGAGCTCCTCAAGGCTGTTCCATCTTTGTGTCTACAGGATCTGGCCAGGTGCATGAACACTGAACAGATGAATCAAGAGCATCTCTCCAAGACAAGCTCCAGGTGAAAGACAGCCTCAGCCCTTTTGAACTCCAGCTCTCCCTCGATCTGCCCCAGTGCTGTAGCCTGAGTACCCCCGTTCCCACACAGCCACAGCCCTAGGGGTCTAGGGGCCAATTATCTGAAAGGACTGTGTCAACAGAGGGTTTACATCACCACAATAGGCAGCAACTCAGGTCTGAGACCCCTGGGGCTGCCTCTCTGTGGACGGGCAGTGGACACAGCCATTCACACCTGTATGCTGCTCCCCACAGGTATTGCTCTGGGCGGGCTCTGCTCTACCTGCCGTCCTAGGGGCCCAGGACCTCACAGCAGGATTGAAGGACAGATGGTCTGACACTCACCCCCGAGGCGGGATTGGCCGTCCAGCCCAGCTCTGCAGTAGCCGTCCTGGTGTCCATTAGGGTTTCTGCAAATTAAAGAGAAAAAAACTGATGAGGCAGAAAGATTGCAAGACAGTGACCATGAAGTTATTTATGACAGTAAATGTCAGTGCGAGAAGGAGCCTTGGGCATCTTCAAGCCCGGGCCCCACTGTGAAGCCCAAGGCTCAGACAGGGAAAGACATCTGCTAAGGTCACACAGCTCATAGCTCATGGCAGAGTTGGATGCAGAACTCAGGGCTCCTGTGCTAAGTCCAGTGCACTCTTCCCAGTGACCCCAGGCACCTGTATAGGGTAAAGTCACAGCCTGCCCACCACTGCACCCCCGAGATCCAGCTTCTTCCTGGATTACTCTACCCAGAGGCTCCTCCAGGGCCATGTTGACTCAGTAGCCAAATGTAATCCTTCCTCAGGCCTTTCTGGGCCACCCTTTCTGCCCTCTTCCTCCCCACTGGGCTGCTTCTCTAACCTCCTCTGTCTGCCCTGCTTTCTCCCCACACATTCTCCTCTGCCTCCCCTGCAGTCATCCATGTTGACACCCTTGGGTGATTTCCCACCAACTCCTCTGGCCCCAACCACTCTCCCAAGACTGAGCCCTCCTGAAGGTCTCCTAACCCCTGGGCCCCAGATACACGCCCACCCACTTTTCCAAGACTCTGTTGGGGACTTGGGCAGCTTTGGCAAACCCTCACCCAGGACACAAATGCGCATCTCAAACCCCAGCAGCCTGCGGCCAGCGGTGACATGACCAGGGTGGCTGCAGCTGACTGCACCCTCCCCTGACCACAGCAAGGGAGCTCCCGGAGCCATCAGGGGTAAACTGCACATGCTTAAGGGGTACACGTATTTATACCTGCGAAATCATCATCACAATCAAATAGTAAACATATTCATCACTCCCAAAGTTTCCTTTGTTCCTTTGTAATCCTTCCCTCCCTCCTGCTCCTCCTAACCCACCCCGTCCCATTGATCTACTTTCTGTCACTGTAGATTAAATGGCATTTTCTCAAAGTGTATATAAATGGAATGGTATAGTATATACTATTTTTTACCTGGCATCTTGCACTCAGCATAATTGTTTCGAGGCTCATCCGTGTTGTTGTGTACACCAACAGTTCATCCCTTTTTATTGCCGAGTAATACTCCATTATATGGTTGTGCCGCAGCTTGTTCACCCACGCACCTGTTGTTTCCAGTTTGGGGCTATCATGTGAGAGTGTATGACAGTTCCATTTCCTCCATATCCTCACTGAGGTCAGTCGTTTTTAATTTTAGCTATTTTAATAGGTGTGTAGGGATGTGTCATTGTGGTTCTAATTTTCATTTCTGTTATCGATGAATGGTGTTGAACATTTGTCACATGCTTATTTGCTATCCATATACCTTCTTTGCCCCCTTACCAGCCAGCCACAAAAAAACCAAAAAAACCCATATACTTTCTCTGGCGAAGTGTCTGTTCAAATCTTTTTCCTGTTTTTAAAATAGGTGATTTATTTTCTTATTATTATGTTTTGGGAGTTTTTTTTTTTTTTTTTTTTTTTTTTTTTTTTTTTTTTT